CAGCCTTGGCCTCCCTGGGCTCAGCTGATCCTCCTACCTCAGCCTGCCAAGTAGCTGGTACTACAGGCAGGCACCCACATGCCCGGCTAATTTTCAGTTTTTTGTAGAGATGGGGTTTTGCCATGTTACTCAGGCTGGTTTTGAACTTCTGGGCTCAAGAGATCTGGACTCCTTGGCCTCTTGAAGTGGTAGGATTACAGGCGTGAGCCACCGTGTCTGACCCATAACATGATTTTGGCCATGCTCTAAACCCCAGTTCTTTCTGTAATCTCAAGGTGGTATAAAGGCATCAACCACCTCCCATCTCTTTGGGCTTTTATATTTTGTATGTCTTTGTGACTCCTGTACACACGTGTGCATGTAATAAAATGTGTATGCATTTTTTTCCTGTTAAGTTGTCCATTATTCATTTCTTATATAGATTCAAGTTATTTTTAAATAACTTGAGGGGAAAAATATAAACTTCCCTACATGTGGAAGTAGATTTTCTGAAGCCTGCCTGAGCACATGAGTGAGTTTGGAAGCAGATCTTCCTCCACTGAACCTTGCCATGGCTGCAGTCCCCATTGGCAATTCAACTATGACCTTATGGGAGACTCTGAGCCAGTCACCCAGCCAAGTTGTCCCTGGATTTCTGATCCACAGAAACTAAGACACAATAAATAATGTTTTCAACCATTAAATATTGCTGTCACTTGATATGCAGCTATAGATGACTAATACTAATACACTTCAGTTTACATATGAGACAAAGTTTATCCAGGGCCACAGGAAAGGAAGGAGAAAATGAATTAATACTTTTTAAACTTGACTGCCTGACTTCCAGACTCAGGCCTTTCTGCTATGCTCAGGGGTTCAGTGGGCCATTTTGTTCGCCTATGGACATTTGAATGTCTCCCACGGTCTGACATGACCATAACTATGAGAAAAGAAAAACAGCTCAGAGTAGTCTGAAATATGTGAATGATGCAAAGTATATTGGGCCCAGAGAGACATGAGTATGAAACTTCAGTCACACACCCTTCCCCTGAGCTCAAGGCACCCATGCTCCAGGCAATTGTTTTAAGTTATTTTTTTCCTGACTACCTGCCTCACCCATTATCTTCTTGCTCCTGGAATCTGTGATACAAAGAACAATGCACAGGAAATCCTTAGCCGGTATGATTTTAATGTACATTTCTGATAAACAATACAGAAACTACCTCTTTTTCGTCTTTAAAAATCTGCTTCTAACTGTAGCTAATCAGAGCATACATTCAGGGCAACTTGAATCTATATTCCCAGGTTGCAATACTCAAGCTTGGCCCAAATAAACTATCTATTTATATTAATATTGCCTTGGCTTCTTCCTTTTAGGTCGACAACTATTAAGTCATATCCTTTACAATTTAACTCAATTTTTGCTAAACTACTTGGATAAAAAATCCATGCAGTCCAGTTGAGAGAAAGGCATCTAAATTAAATTGTAGTATAATCCGTGATGGATGTTGACCTGCAGTGAAAAGCAGAGGGAGATTTTTATTCAGACTGTTTATTCAGGGAGACTTCTGAAAGAACTTCATCCTTCTGAAAGAACTTCATCTATCAGCAGCTGCAGCCCAATCCCTGCTCAATCCTTGGCATGTGAGATTTGACCTCAATGAGTATTTGTCACCTTAGTAAATGCACCGCTGCTTGAAGGACATCAGATATTGGTAACATAACAGAGAATGAGGGAGAGACTTCCACTGTTCCATGTTGAAAAAACAGCAGCTGGAGGAGCCAGGGTATCCAAAAATACAATTTGTTCCTAGACCTGCTGCATATTGCTAGACAGTAAGATCTGTAGTACATGACAGTGAAACAGTGCTTCCCAAACTTTGGCCATTTGAGGACCATTTAAAAGTGTTCCCATTCCCTGGTGCCATATGTACTTGCATTTACTTAATATATTTAAAGAAATAAAGGGTAT